TGGTATTTCCTCACCCTCGAACCCAAAGCCCTGAGCACATGAACTTCTCCAGCACGTCAAATGAAATCACATAAAGCTTTCCACGCTGCCTCCTTGTGACCGGGACCTTTCCACGTTGCCATGCTGTGCAGCACCTGTTTTCCAAAGTGTCTGGTCGAAGACTTACAAGGGGCGAAAAAGCGGAGGTCCAGTCTAATACCTAGTATGACTGGCGGGTGTTGTCCGCACCAGAATCCAAACTGCAAAGAAACTCGTCTCAGCAGGCCGCATCGCACACACAAGGGCTGTACTCTGATGATGTTGCATTGGCAGTCATACTGCTCAGCAGTTCGACTGCAAAACAGAGACATTGCTTGTGGAATTCGGGAAATATTGACTTTGTTCGAGTGCCTGCTACTGCCAGCACACAGATATCCTTGAAAGAGCTCGAGTACCTGCTAGATATGGCTTGGTCTGCCCTGGGAAACTGCCGCTAGCTCTGGGGTTGGGATGTTTGAGGCCGACTCTGGGCTCATGTTGCAGGACTCCCTCTTGGCCCATGGCTCTCTTGTGGATTCCTAGATCCTACTCCAAGTCAATGCCCGGTAGAGGGCCAGTGTGTCGAACAGGGCATGGTTGGGCTTCATTCAGAAGGGTTGGGAACTGTCAGGTGTTGCTGCTCAATCGGCAAAGTGCTGGCCATGTGCGAGAAACACGCACGCCTCGGCAAACCACTCGGCTTCGGCTTCCTTCTGCAGCATGTACTCGCCCGAGCTCCTGGAACCAGGAGTGGGCAAGGGCTTCTTGGGGAGCGCCTTTTGCGGGCTAAACAACCCCACCACCAGAAGTCCAACCTATTAATCCAAGTGCCGACGGGGCGCTCAATTGGGGTGTCATCCTGCAGGCATGCGTCGGGCGCATGGTCTGGAGGTATTAAGTAATCCTTGGCACACCGAGGCATATTCAAAGGTGCTGCGGGGCACCGTGACCTTCGACCACGCGTGATTTATCCCTGATCTTCGGTGAACTTCGGTGTAGACTCTGCCAGATTCACTTGACTTGTTACCTCAGTCCACCACCGGCTCCTCACCTGAGAGGCTGGAGATGAGGACCTGCAGAATGTGATTCACACCCTGTGCCTTTCCTATCGAAAACTGAACAATCTGGTCGAATACTTGCAAGGGGCGAATTCGAGAGACCATACCCAGTATGGCAGGTGTTGACCAGGGCTTTTGCACACATCGCTTTGAGCAGTATGAGGGGGGGGGGGGGTAGTCCGAAAACGAGATATGAGTAGATGCCTCGAGAACTGCAGGAACCTCGCAAGGCCGCGAATCTCGAAAACCCCAAATCTACAAGTTCTAAAATCATTGCGTACGTTGCAGTGCCTGCAGCTGCGGCCAGAGGTGCACCGCAAAGAGCAGGACCACTCCCGCATTTGCGGTGACGGCTGCCAGGAACCACCATCTGGCCTTGGACAGCATCACGATCCATGCTTGAGGACAAACCGTGGTGCTTCAGGGGCGGCATAGGGCTGCTTCTGTAATCTAAGCCGAAGTACCTGTTGGTTGTGTCCTTGGCAGTCACTTTCTTGTTCCCCCATGTGGCAAGTTTTCTCCGAAGCTTGCACTTAGTGAGTAGGGGAAGTGCAGAGTGAAGCAGACGAATTGGACAGAGTTGGCACTGAGAGGGGGAGTGCGAAAACCGCGTCTTCCTCAAATAGCATGCTGCAAGTGGTTGCAGGGTCATTGCGTTGAGATTGGGTGCTGCCAAGGATCGCTTCCTGAAGTGCAGCCAAGCTTCCCAGCTTGAGGAATTTCAAACACAGCCCTTCTGCAACTACAAAGATGCCAAAACTTTCGGTCTTGCAAGCGGCTGCTTTGAATAATCCACCGCTTCCTTCGCTGTGCTGCAGTCCCGAACTCCAGCAACAGGTGTGCAAAGTATCGGAATCTGCTCTTTGCTCCAGCGGGCGAACGGAGGCGACTTACCAATTGAGAAGAGAGAAATGTGAACCAGTGACTCCTGAGCAACTTGCTTGAGCTTACTTTTTTTGCCATCAACAAGATGATAAACATATATGCTGCGTGGATAAAGCGGTTGGAAGACGCCGGCTACATGAAGCGCACGTTGAAAGCATGAACTGCAAGGACAGAGCTGCAGCCCGAGGCAGAGGTAGCGTTGTCTTAACGGCTGCACGCCGCACTGCTTTCGGTGATAGGAAGTGCGAGGACGATGACGCCGGCTTTGAATGTTGCCGCAGAAGGCAAAAGCGCCTGTGGGATGTGTCCATATGCGGTCTGCATGATGGAAAGCACCCTGCAGGCCAAAAGCACCGGAGGGCAAGAAGAGCATCGTTGCAGCTACCAGCAGACACTCTCCAAGCTTTCGCTTTGCACGTCGCCCAGGAAATCCTATTCGAGTCAACTCCAGCATCCAAACCCCGAGTGATATCGCAACCTCACCAACTGTATCCATACTGACTGACATCATGAGCACAAAGAAATGAACAGGCTTCGGAAAGTTAGAGTGTTTGACAGCGCCGGCGACACCCTACATAGTTTTCGAAACACTTTGTCATTGACCCTCCGAACCAACGCCACAGGATGGGCCTCAGTGTCTATGCACATGTCTAGGCATATCTCCTACGGGTCTAAAGGGTCTATAAGGGTGTGAAGGACTGGCTGCACGCGAGGATGAAATGCAGCCCCAGTTGCTCGTCTCATGGTGGCACATAGATTGTGCGGCTGCAAGGACTGGCTGCGCGCAGTAGACTACATCCAGTCAGAGTCGACGAGTGACTCTCAGGGCAGGTTGGCCCTACACCGTTTACAAGTCAAGTCAGTAGCTACAAGTTCTTGGTTTTATTGTTATGACAAAGTCCCAGCTTCATAAGCTTCCTGCGAAATGACTTCTTGCAAAATGCTCCTCTTCTTGGAAAGATACAGCGCTGTGGCAAGACGTGTAACAAGAGTCTGCACATGTTTGTCATGTTACACTGGTCGGTTGGTCTCATTTCATCGAACGGACGCAGCGAAACAACAGGCAGGCTTTCAAGCCCAGGATTTTACCACGCTGGGTACTTCATCCGTGACGAAGCGCCGGGAAGTTGTCCAGCAGCAGTGTGTGTGCTCCACACTGCAAAGCCTTCCCTGGAAAATACTCGAGGCATCTGACATCGATGGTCTTCTGCATAGTCTTCGCGCACGTCAATGCACGGTAACACATGCCCCCTTATGTGGATCGACGGTCAGCGCCTCACGCTTCACAGTGAGAGCATTGGCGATTTTTCAAAGGAAACGCACGATGCATCAGAAAACTGGTCGTTGCACTCTACAGGCATTTCGTGAGGACATGTTCTTCCCAAACCCTCGGGATTCTGGTCACCTTTGATAGCTGACTTACACAAGGTCGAGCTTGCAGTGCTTTCATGTTCAAGTACTCTGGTTGCTTGCAACATTCCATGGCCTAGCTGGGGAAACCCTGACTTGCGCTGAGCGTTTGGGAATGCAACGCAACGGAGGCTCCCATGAGGGAGCTCATGCAATGAGACCTGTTTCGGTTGCTCTTGAGTGTAAGGGTTCATGAGGATTTTGCCGCCTGACCCCGAAACGCTACACAGGATCAACATCGTACAATATCGTACACAAGGGTAGGTGGGCAACATCTTGGATACTGACATTGCAGGGCGAGGTGAAGGGCCTGTTCGGAAGTAAAAATGTCTGGAGTGCTGAGGTATTCTGGCATCATAGTAAACATCACAACAGATTTAGACGATGCAAGGACGATGTCGGGAGACCCAGCATTTTCCAGCTTTGGAGATCAGCAACTTGCGAAGAATGGATGCGAATGGGCGCCTGCGCAATACCCTCGCTGTTCCTTCGCCACCGTTCAGTTGGTGGATGGCCTGCCAACTTCAGATCGTCCGATATTTCTCGTAGCTTCAGTTTGAGAGCCTAGCTTCTCACCACTCTGAAGCCTGCAAGCTCCTTTGTCACCTGTGTTATGCAGCTTTGACACTTTCCTGAAAAATCGCGCGTGGCATGCTCTGGCCGCGCAAGTTGCCCATTCATCCCAAGCCACAAAGCTCGCCCATGCTCAACACGAGACAAACATCAACCACCCAGAACTCGCCATCAGGCTAGCAACACGGATGCAAATCCACAAACTCGTCTGGAGACTTGAGTACTTGAGTCCTAAAGAGAAGGAGCAACAAAGCCAACCCGAACCTCCCTTCGGAAGCCGGTTTTTTGCTGAAGGAAGCTTTATGAACAAAATCGCGCCGGGGAGGCCCCATCTCGAGGTGTTCCTGGGCCGCCTGTGGAACCCTTACCCGGAGCTTTAAGAAAGACTCGTTGAAATTTGGGGAACAGGGTTTAGGGCTTAGGTCTCTGGAGGTAATCATTGAAGAAGGAAGACGGGGGCGTTAATGGATGTGGAATGAGGAATGCTATAGGGGAAAAAGGAAGGAGCGGACTTTCACCAGGTGGCCATTGGAGCCCTTTTCGCTTCCATTTCTGATCTCGGCTCATGCGGGATTTTGAAGGGGGAGCCAGCTTGATGGGGGGGTGTTGTCTTTGGTGCCTAGAAGTTCGCACGGAGGCCAAACAACTTAAGTCCACATCAGCTACGGCACCTACGGAAAACGCAAAGCAGTAGGCTGAATTTTGGAAGGTCAGGGAGCAAGCAAGCAAACAAACACACACACACACACACACACACACCCACACCCACACCCACACCCACACCCACACCCACACCCACACCCACACCCACACCCACACCCACACCCACACCCACACCCACACCCACACCCACCTGCACCTGCACCTGCAGAAGCTCTATGGCCCTATGGAGCTCAGCCATGTTGAAAGCTCCGTGCCAAGTCACTTCAACGGGCGATTCGTGCTTTCGCTTGGCTTCCGAGGTATGCACTCCAGCTTCTGGATTCCGGGATTGCAGAACCCTACTGGTGCTGCTGTAATCTTGAGGTCGTCTGTCCTCTCCCCATCCAAATCTGCCTCCAGGTCGTGCCGAGAGGGCCAAAAGCGCCAGTCCTGCGGGCAAGGGATGAGGCTTCAAACCCTGAGCATGTCAGGACCTGAAGAAGTCCCCTTTTTTGGGCAACATGGGCAACCATGATGGGCAACCGGCTCCGGCTCGAACATTGTAGAGGTTCAGGTCTTGAGCAGGGCACCATAGTGGATGGTTCATGGAAGCGAATGCTTGGCGTGAACCACGTTCGCTCCTTAACAGCGTGTGTTGAACACCGTGCATGATGTGATCTGTTCTGGGCAATCAGCCAAGTGGTGTTGCCTGCAAAGCTAGAAGAAACACTGGCCGTGTGTTTGTGGCCAACTCTGGCTATACAACCTGTGTTTCCAACCCCTGGGTACTTCCTTCGTCAAGACATTCCGCATATTCTTGCATATTCTGGGAACACCCAAGCCCACCAGAGACCTACTGTGATGGCTTACTTCGTCACAGGCCCATGCTGAAAACCTGGAGGCAACTCGTCTTCTCAAGTTTATCCCTCAACCCTACGCTGAAACACCCCCAAAAACCCCAAAGTCAACCCCAATGACCCTGAATTCGAAACCCCTGCCTCCGGGTATATGAGCGGAAACATTCCCAGAATGCAGCCCAAGGTGATTCCTCGGAGAGCAGGAAGGGCGGGTTTGAGGGGTCGCTTTGGTGCAGCTTCTTGCGCTTACTTCGCTCCTTTTCGCTCCATCTGCAGGCAACAGTGCCACGCGCGGCACAGGGGGCAGAGTGGCACTTTTGATGAGTTCTTGGTTAGAATGGACCTTATTGCCGGTGCTGAGACGAGCAACTGACTTCGACGGAAAGGCAACGAGTCTCTCGATTTTCTGGCCTGCATTGCTACGAGTAAACCTGGACTCAAGCACTCCGGTGAAAGTGTCACCTACTGTCCCAACTGCAGCTTTGGTGCCCGCAATCATGGAAGTGTTCTTCACGATGCGGACTGTGAGCAGCTCCCTGGGAAACAAGTGCAGAGCCTCTCCATGCCTTTCCCATAGGCCACACGCAATCTGACCACACCACGCCACACAACATGGCAAATTTTACCAGAGGTTGCTGACGCTGGGATGCTGGAGGTTGGTTTGGGTTTAATCTCGGCTGATCCTGAGGGCTTCACTATGGAAGTATGGATCGATACCAAAAGCAGGCAATACGCTTTCTTGGAGAATACTCAGGCCCAAGCAGAAAGAGGTGGTTTCAGACTTTCAGTGTCTTTGGGTTGTTGTCTGCTTGACATGCGCGGGTGAAGAACCGAAACCCTTAACCCTCTAGTAGCCTCAACGGCCAAGGGCCGCTACTCGACCACGATCAGGTCAAAGCATCCTTGTCCTGACCCCTGAAAAGAAAACTTAAACAACATCCCTCTTTTAAATCCAACATTGATGGGACTAAAGTATCATGTCCCACCAATCCTACGTCTCTTCTTGTGACAAAGAACAAATGTATGAACCCCATACCCCATACCCCAAACCCTACCCCAAACCCCAAACCCCAAACGTAAACAACACTCTAAAAGCACATCGCAGTTGTTGAGGAGATCTGAAGAGGCCAATTCTTCCAAGCGGCATCTGCCCGCTGGTCAAGTTGTGGTGCTGGAGCCCGGTCCTCAAGGAGCTCTTGGGAGGGTTTAGGGTCTAGGGTTTAGGGTTTAGGGTTTAGGGTTTAGGGGAGAGTTGAGTGTTAGGTTTAGGGTTCAGGGGGTTCACATACTTAATCATGGATTCGTACTGTGATTCCGATCAGGCGGCAAGCGGTTGTAGTAGGACATTACGCTCTGTTTTCTTGACGCTAAGTTGCTCTTGTCCCATGCAGGCCACTCGAAACGAAATGCATGAAAATCAACAACTATTGCAATTACGCACACACACACACACACAAAGTGCCGTGCGAGGAAACGAGGCGGCTGCGCGCTCATGACGATTTTTGTTCGTGCTGTTTCGTTGTGTATTCTTTGTCGAGATTGCGCACATACGCTAGGAAAGCCGACAACCCAAAACTCCAAACTTTCGGGAGGATCTCTGGGCAACTTTGGCCTTTTGCTTTTTTTCGTTTAGGTAAGTTGTAGGCGAATTTCTAGGCAAATAGTGCTTTGGTGAGGCACATAGTGTTTGTACTAGGCCAAATATTGATCAAATGCCAGCTAAACGGAAATCAAATACTCGTGAGGTATCCATTGGTCCATTCATAATATTTTGGCTAAATACTCATTGCGTACTGTTAATGAGTGCTGATTCTCTGCAAATAAAAGCAAGAATCACACGGCGCTACGTTGTATTCATTACATTTTATTACAGTATATATTCTGCTGTATTTAAATATACACACATGTTACATACACCTGCTCGATGGTGTATGATATAAGACACTGACATACAATCTAGTATAATGTATGTGTATTTCTACATATATGTATATACACGTTGTAGATGTTACGATAAAATGTATACTACAGTTTGAACTATGCTACATACATACATATAGATACAAGTACTATCATGCCCGACATTGTTCCAATCCTCCTAGCGAAGCCACGAACCCCGCTTGCGCAAAACTTGAAAGTCAAGAGAACCTCCCAACCAACCCCCCCCTCCCCCGCCGAACCAACGTGAAGCTGAAGGCCACTTTCGAGCTGGCGGCGAGCCCACGAAGGTCTCGATGAAGCCCGAGATCCATAGCCCGATGACGTCACTGGCGCAGGCATCGCTGTCACTGAATTGGGAAGGGCGAGGGCGAGGGATCTTCAGCACAAAACACATAGGAGAAGAAAGGCAAAGCTCCGAACACTCTTGAGACGCTCAGGTGCTTGGAAGGTTCCGGGCGCAAAATACTGCAAAGCTACCTGAACGTGTTGCCCCATGCAGCGGCCGCCATGGTGCTGAGCCCTAAGGTCAGCCCAAGCTTGGCGTCGATGTAGTCGCCTAGCTCCCACAAGATGAAGCAAACTCTCACGACTTCCCCCAGTGAATTCAACAGTTCAAACTCTGTTTACAGCAGGTAAAACGCAGGATTCGGATCAGCGCCATGGATCCCGAACTGCTACTTCAGTTGGGCTGCTTGTCGGGTGCTGTGAACAACGATCGCAATGAGGCGTCTAAGGAAGGAGTGATTGAAAGGATAATCACAAGGGAAGCAAGACAACCCCTCAACGAAAACCATTTTCTAGAGATACACCGAAAATGCAGGTAGTTACATGCTCAGGCCTCCAACTCATGCGACTCTCACTGGGGGGAAAACACGCTCATCATGTTCAGACCTTTCCTGCCATCTGAGGGTCATGCCGGCGAGGATCATGATCTCAGCCAAAGGCGCGATTACGCGGCAGTGATTGAATTGAATGCTTGTCGGAATGGTGCGGCAGCCAAATATTCCCACGATGTTTCGAGAACACTTGGCTAAAATCAGTCGGCCCTACTTGAAAGAGCCATACGGGTAGTTTTTGGACTTCAGAATCTGTGGGATGCATTCCCGAATCACCGAGAACTTTGTTGCGTGACTGATCTTCGGCCTTGCCTCTGAGGCCCCAGCAGCGTTGTCACAGAAGCCAAAGCCGATAAACGGGATGAAGTTGTGCAGAAAATAGAGCTGCCATGGTCGCATCGTGGTTTGCATTGTTCTGGGTGCTGCCGGTGAAACAAGGTTCTGATGTGGCAGGGCGAAGTGCGAAGTTCTGGGATTTCTGGGCAACGATTGTGAACAGAAGCTTCGAGTGGACAAGGCAATAAGATCGTGCTCACATATGCCACCTTGCACTCGCCTGTCTAGCCTGGCAGCACTTCCTACAGACTGTCAGACGGAAATTGCACAAGGCCAAAACCACGCACTTTGAATGAGGACCATGTGCGGCAGTAATGGGAATCAGAAACACAGATGGTCATGATGAGAAGCGGCCGCTATTAATATTAGCTGAATTGTTGGAGCAGCAGCCATCAGGCTCAAAAGTACATGTTGCATCACAAGGCATGGCAAGGCGTGTGAAAAGGGAAGAGGCGGGGGGGGGGGGGGGGTTTCGGCTTAGCACCAACAGTAACATGCAAGCTGGTGTAGACGACCCTCGTGTAGACAGCCGCTGCACGCCTCCATCCGACCCACTCCAACTACCATGCCCTCGACCTCCGACATCTACTCTCTCACGCCGCGAGAAGCCAGAATAGCCTCCAGCTGACGGGCAGTTGGAAGCGGAGCCTGGACGCAGCACACGAGGGTGTCTGGGTGCTTCTTGCGATTCGGGCAGGCTTTGTGTGGGGAGCTTCTAGCGGCATCGAGCGTCAAGGGCATATTTCACATCTGCACCCGTATCTTTGCAACATGAGAACTCAAAAGGGCTGAAGCTGGGCTGCGCGGTGCTCACTGGCCTAAAACTGCTTCGAGGTCTCTGATCCGAGGTTTCGCCGGCCTCCGCTTGCTCTGAATCCGCAGAGGCAGCCCTTAGGGATGCAGGGCAGGGGGGCAGGAAGGCTCCAAGGCATTCTGAGGCAGGCTTCCAATCTGAATGGAAACCCGTGGATTGGCGCAACATGAGTCCACTGTCACAATCTACGGAGGGCGCTTTCAGAGCTGCACGCTCAGTTGCAGGCTCGCACTGATCCAGAAATTCTGCGGCGGCTGTGGTCTTGGCGACCTGCAAAACCACTGGAGACAACTCATCGGGACTTGACTTAACTTGCAAGGCTATCTGCAAGCATTGTCGAGCGCAGAGCACTTTCTGTTGTGTTGTGCGGATCCTCAGCCCCTTAAAACCTGGGAATTCCCGGAAACCCACAAAACCCTGAGCCCAGATTCATAAGACTTTCTCGATCCCCCTGCACCTTAGCAGCCAGCCCTGGCTCCTCAAAGTAGTGTCGGATTGCGGATGTTCGGGTTTAGGGGGGATGTCGTGAAATCAGGATTGCGACTGTTTGAGGAAGTCCAGGGATTGCAATGGCCTAAGGCGTTTAGGTTGGAGGTCATGGGCAAGGTCTGAGCACCCTCCTGTGCTTACTTGTGGTACACGAGGCTAAACCCTAAACCCTAAACTTTGAACCCTTAAGCCCTACTGTAAACCTTAAACCCCAAACGCTTGAAAAAAAAAAACAGCTTCGCTGTTGTTTCTGGGTTTGCGGGGCACCTGGGAGGCTTTGTTGTCGCATTTATTCGCGGGCTCGTGCTGCCTAAGCCCTGAACCCTGAACCCTGAACCCTGAACCCTAAACCCTACATCCTGAACGGTGCACTCTAAAGCCTAAAGCCTAAAAGACCCTAACCCCCCCCCCCCCCCCGGCCCCCGGAAAGCTTCGGAAACCCAACAACTCGGGGAAGCCCCTGGCGACTCCTCCAGGAGCTTTTGCGCTGCTGCCTGAGGAAGTGCTCTCAGCTTGGGCCCGGACCCTAATTTAAAGGACTTCTGGTCCATGTGCCTTACGGTTTAGGGTTTAGGGTTACATCAATCGGGATTCTAGTAGTATAGGGCGTACGACTCCAAATTTTAGGGTTCATTTCGTCCCCAAGGAATGGGGTGCCTTTGCATGTTCGTTGTGTCATCGTTTCATGTCCCCTTCAAAGTTGAGCATCTTTGCTGTAGGGTGCGGTCTTGGCTCCAGAGCCTTTTAGAACTCTATGTAGCCGGCTTGATTCGGGATCTCGACTTCCACCTGCTCTTGTACAAAGATCGGGAAGTGAACTGCGGGGGTGGGGAGTGGGGGGGGCTTCTTCTGTCCAGGCTTGGCCGGCTGGTGGCATGACCACGGCTTTGAGGAAGTCACATAGCACCCATATGAACCCTCCATGGTCTGAACTTCGATACTCTGGGGCTCTCTGGCTCTGTTAGAGTTTCTTGAGGGTCCAAGATGGTGCAGAATGCCCCCACCACCCTCAGCTATGGCAGCTATGGCCTTGAGGGCTCTGACGTCATCTGGCTCGTGCTCCTCCGTGTCCGCTTGACTTTGAAGCTTTGAGTTACAGGCACGAAGGTGCTAGGGCTGCAAGGAAGTGTCCAGAAAAAAACAGAAGAGACAACTTGAACGGCCCCCTAACCCTAACGGTCTCTGCCATCCTCAAGATTCTTGTGTTTGATGTGATGAAGCCATTATGAAGCCTATCAAGCTTATCGGGGTATTAGGATCTGACTTAATGTCCGAGGTTACGAACAAACACCGACAATTTGGCACAATTTACCAACTCGAGACTGACGCTCTCCAGCACGGTCTCAGACACTGATGACTTGGACCCTATGAACCCCAGACCCTCTCACGTACGAAAGGCCCCCGAAGGTTCACAAGCCCGAAGCCTGAAAATCGACCCCTTCCGCTGTACCAGATGCGCATTGACTCATCCTGCGGGTGGTGCACATGCACGCAGAAGCCCCGGGCCAGGGCAATGCAGGGCCTCTTGATGGCGCAGAGGGTTGGAGCTTTGTGAGATGTGGGCGCAGGATGGGGCAGAAGCGGCCTTGAATCCCTGCAATCCCCAAACCCTAAACCTGCTGAGATTTCCGGAGAAAGGAATCATCGGCCTCAGCGAACGCTGAGGGACGGCCCGCCCGAGCGACCTGGCCGAGTTCAGGGCCCTAATCCCCCGAGTCCACACTCGGGTTTCGGAGTTCAGGGGTTTAGGGTTCAAGGGGTTGAAGACGGGCCTAAGCCGATTGAGTAAAGAAGCACTCAGGGATGAGCCCCGGTCGATCTGCTCGCCATGGTGAGATGATTTCCAGAGTATGGGACTGTTCTTCCAGCTCACTCTAGAGGCCAACCTTCGGAATACTGCAAAAGGCATTATTGGCAAAGCAATTATGTACTCAACTGCTCAGCTCTTGGATCCCCTCCCCTCCCCCTGAACCCCCACCCCCACCCTCGCCAGTGCTGTGCGCTTCGCCAGGCCCACAGCCGGATCATGGCTGCTAACCCCCGGGGCGTCCTCGACCACTTTTACACGGGATTCTGAGGTGTTCAGGGGCTGCTGAAGGTCTTAGAGTTTGGGGTCAGCTGCGCAAGCTTGCACGTGTGTGCCTCACTTATATGGTGGACGGGCTGCATCTGGCTCAAGCACTAGGTCACTAGGGACAAGCGAACTTGTGGTCCATCCGGTGGGCTTAGTATGGAGTGGTGTTCGTGCAACCTTGTGTGAACTGTCTCCGCTTTGGTTTGTGCCAAATTCTGCCAAGAGCCCGGCAAAACACCTGGGAATGCTACGAGGTGAACAAAGCAAAGGGACTGGTGAGCATCCCGGCCTCAACTCGCCGCGAAAGTGGCACGATGCAGCTCAAGATGACAAATGGGTTGGAGATGCAAATGCCACAAGGCGGGGGCGGGAGGGAGTGCATGTGGGGTCAGTGCAAGGGACAAGCACAGTCGCGACAAGCTAGACGCAACAGAGAAAAAGAGAGAGGGAGAGAGAGAGTCGGACATAGTGCGAGTCATACTCATACAAAGAATCGCAGCACCCATGTAAAGACATCCTTTGGTTCCGCGGCAACGATGCGTCTTTGCACCTGCGGAATCCGGATCCCGCAGGTGTCCACTCGCTGTGAGGCTGTCGGAACAACGGAAATAGCCGCCCAGTAGGAGGTAGGCCAAATCCGAACAATCCTAATCTACGCGCTGTGACTTGTCTGCTGCACTCTGGAAGAGCTGCAGTGCCAGCAGAGTGATTCTTCGATCAACCAGGGCTTCTACGACGCACAGGCTGCTGTCAGCTGCCTGTGGAAAGCATTGTGCTCTTCTCAGGTTTGCCACTGGTGCACTCTCACTTCCCAAAGGGCCTGCCTGTACATACATGTCCTGCAGCTCCCGAGGAACTTTAAAAGATCCACCCGCCCCTACGTTCGAAGTGCATCTGCTGTGGCGGGGAGGGGCACCTACCGGATTGGTGAAGTGTTTAAGTTGTCAACAAGCATTCTCAGAGGCTCATGGGCTTCGCACATTGCGAACAGTATTCTTGCCGGATGAGAGAACCTTGAGTGCCTGAAAGGAACGAACCTCCTATCTGTGCATGCGTTTGGGTCTTCCCATAGGAGCCGATAGACCAGGCCAGCCAGGCTGTGTCCTTGCACAGACCTTCGTGAGAGCATCATGCTCTGGCACGCAGCCGCATGGCAGGGGCCGTAGCTTTGAGGCTTCTTGGTGTCCAATGTGGCTGTGCGACTGGGATTCTCATGTTGCACAGTGAGTGTAGTCTCGACAACTCCTACGTAGACAACAGTTCGCAACTCTGGCATTTTCAGAGCCTATAGTCGGAAGTTTCAGGATTCTTCTGCAGGCAAAGAAAATTACTGGGCCCAAGGGCCCAAGGGTTCAAATGCTGGGAAGCCCACAAGGGAGGTTCGGCTCTGGGAGGAGAAAGTGTTTTGGAACGAATGCCCTCTTGGCACCTCATTGAGCTACGGCTGCCTGCCGGATTGGTATTTGGCCAGGTTGTATACATCAGAGCCAGGTTCAGTACGAAGAGACTTAACCAAGTACAACGATCGGAGTGTTGTTGAGCTGTCCTCAGCGGCCTTCAAAACCCGGAAGTGCACAGCTGTTCCGTCGGGTTCTTTAGATGGAAGCGCGAAGAACCCTTCTCGCACTTCCCCTCTCCTATAAGGTGCATAGCGACTTGCCTCCAACGAGGCGGACAAAAACTCTCGCGCAGTGTTTTTTTACACATCTCAGACTCCGCCTCCAAAGCACTTTCTGGCCTTGTGCCACTGAAGGTGAAAGGGCCCCCAACCCCCAAAAGCTTGCACCATGAAGTACAATGAGTACAAACAGAACAGACCGGCATGCGGGCAAGGAGTTCCCTGGCAGAGTCTGAGCTTTCACGACACACAGCTTTGGCGGTCCCTTCATGACCGCGTTGCCTCTGCTACACGAGCTGCCGTCCGCTGATATCCGCTGGCTTCATACATGGATTACCTGGATGCATGCGGCCGTCTCGGCAGGGACGTCTAGATATGCAAGTGCTTTCAAAACCTTCTTACAGCAGGAACAAGTTAGTGCATGGTCTTATGACTGTCTGCGGACAGTCATGAGAAGGACCGTTATCTCGGATCCATGCTTGTCTAGCCAGTCTTGATCACTAGTTATACAGATTTCCGACAGCACGTCCTCGCCTTCACGGTCACAAACCTGCCGACCACAACCAACCGTCCATAAGGAGTGGCAAAAGTAGGCCAGAGAAAAGGATATCTTATGATCGACCGTCTCAGTTCTGATACAACCCTGGCCCTCGCTCGGCTAGACTTCGAACGAACAAGCGCTTTGAAAACCCGGACTCTGGAACCTGATCGTGACATCGCTTCAACCATCACGGGGACAGCAGCTCAAATGAAGCGTCTCGCACACCTGGCAGACTTCTGAGAACACGTTCTCACACATCTTGCATGGGAGTTCTGAAGATGCTGAAGCATTCGAGATAGGGCTCGAGAGGGGATCTGAGTTGACGATCTTTGTTGGTCCCATACAATCCTGAACCCCATCACACTTCCTGGACTCGAGCCTGCGTGGGCTCAGTTGACCTTCTGACGGCGAATCTGCTTCCGCTCCTGCATCAAATCCAGAAGCCGGGCAGCCTCATTCTTTGGGAGACCCGAAGCCCACAAACTCCGCACTTCAAGTCCCCGAGACCTTGATGATCTTGTATCCTCGCCCAGCGCAACTAGGCACTTGACTGCTCTTCCCCTTCAAGGCATGAGTCCGTACTGAGAAGGACTCGCTGCAAAGAAGTTCTAGCGGGGTGCTATTTGGATCCAATGGCCCTAGCCGAAGATCCGAAACTTGGCGGAACACACCTGGGGCGAAGCAGTTAGCGGCTCTCCCCAAATCCCCAGCCGGAACACATGTTCACGCAAGTTGCTCTAACAACTCTAGTACGCCCTAACAAGTCCTAACATCAGATGAGTCGGCGTCAAGATTACTTGTTTAAGCCTTGCTTGTTTTTGAATTAGCGCGCCCCCCTATCGTTTTCCATTTTTATCCTATCGTATCGAATAACCCCATCATTCTAGCGCATCCCCTATCGATCCTCGGGGTTTTGCTGCAACAACTACCCCCTCCACTAAATATGCAAGCAGTAATTTTGACCGCGTCTCAGATCTGGTTATGGATGCTATGGTTACAGTGCCAACCTAGACGCTGTGCCGAAACGGCTCTACCCAAATCAGCCCAGCTCGCCTTCTTGCGGCGCTTCTTCTCACCCGGCCTTAGAGGGATTCGTAGCAAATTTGGGAGCATTCAGAGATTCAGAGAATAAAGCCGGCCGAAAGAATCGAGTTGCAACAGCTTGGGGCTCCCGACTCGCAGAGGTGGCAGAATTCGCACTCCCAGCCCGTGTTGCAGCCATCCTGGACATCGTTTACCCCCCAGCCTCCAGCCGGACATCCCAGCCCTGAACCCCCCCTGGTCTCAACTCAACCTCAAGACCCAGCTTCCGAAGGCTTGGGTCCTTGCAAGACCAGCAACTTGCTCAGGTAGTGGGGTCATGCAAGACTTTGCGACTGCGCCCGATTCTCCGCTGTTCTCTCCGGAATTTTAGGCCCAAGACCCTCCCGCCCGCCCCGAATGCCCTGCCAGTGCGTAAGAACCCCCAGCACAACCCGAACCATCCCAGACGCATCGCCCAAAAAACCTTGAACCCTCTGTCCGAACTGCCCCCGGGCCTTGAAGACAAATGCGCAGGGTTTGCAGAGACCGAGGTGGTGCTTTGCCGACCCCTTGGTGGGAACATCCACCTTCACCTGTGCTGCGAATACGATGGGAGGCCTCATGGGCTTGGGTTCAACGTGGCTCTAGGACCCTAGGCATCGCAATGTTGCCAGAGGCATCTTTCAGGGCTTCGAGTCATTGAGTTCGGGCTCCTGAGCTTCCAAGTTCAAACCGGTACTGGCACTCACCTCTCACACCCACCATTCCCAAGGGCCCCTCCTGCAAAGTCCTGAGGCCGTCTAAGCCATCCTCTGGAACACGCTGTGGCACGGTACCACTGATGGAAACCTTGGAAACCTTGGGTGGCCTGGTCCGTATCCGTGGTGCTGCAGTTGCTGCCTCCGTAAGGCTGAAGGAAGGCGGAAGCATCCCAGAGTCTTGAAGAGCACTTCTGACGGACGTTACTGAATGATCGGAGAAGGGGCCCTGAACGTTGTTTAATTGTGTTCAGGATGTTTTCGATGCGTGCTGAGGTCTGTGGCTTTGCATTCAAGCTGTTGGGCATGGGGCACGGGGTCCAGTTTGCAGCGCTGACCAGTAGAAAGCCGAAAGAACGCAATCTCAAGGTGCTTTCATGTAAACCCCTGTCAAATGCAGGGCTTGAGTCTCCAATTCCAGCTGAACGCGCAGAATGAAATCACAGCCTACATCTGAACCGAAGTCTTTCATACCAACGGCCAGCAAAAGACAACCTCAAGCCAGATGCCATGGATAGAAACAGTGCTGATGGGGCCACGAGATGAAGAAGAGAAGAACCTGCATTGGAGTTCTGTAGCCGAGGCCTTCTTTGCCGTACTCGGAGTGGGTCTCCTTCACATCGGGGCTAAGGCTCCAGGTTTTGGGGCAGACCTTTGGCCAAGAAATCCTTTAATAATAGGAATGCACACAGGAAGCTTCCTCACGAACAGGGCATCTCCGGAAATCGAAGACAAAACGTGCTTCGCCCGAATCCCCGAAGAGCCACGCAAGGTCGAAACCTGTCTCCAGCATAGAAGCAACGTCCAACGGTCCCAAAAAAAAATCAGGGAAGGCGGGCGCAGGGTTTGTCAGCTAACAGCTCTGTCGCAAAAAGGTGCCCGAGCACTGTGTGCATCCCATGCAACTTCACCAAAAAAACCTCGCAAGTCGGGCATTGACTAAACCCTTATAACCTTAAACCCCAAACCCTAAAGCGATGCGTTGGATGCGTTGGTTTTATAGGTCTTAAAAGGTTTTTATGGGCTTTGCCTATAAGGTTTAACAGGCTTTTGCAGAGTCTGAGATGGTTTAGGGGGTCTTATTGGGATGATAACAAGGGTTATAGAGGGTTGGACCTCTGACATTCGGAGCCTCATCTTTAGGGTAACCCAAACAGGACCAAGATTTTCCGAACTGCCCATCTCTTTCTGAACGCTTCTCCGCTTACCTTTCGGGCTCTGGGTTCCTGTGCTCCCACCGTGTAGTTCCGGGTGTATGGCGGCGAGATCTGCCACAAAGGCTGAGTTTCAGGGCTTTCGGGAACAGCTTGAGGAGGGGGAAGGGGGCATCTGGGACTCTCTAGCCCGTAAGCGCACAGCATGAACTCAAATTGGATGTTTCCATGAGGGCTTGGGGTGAGAGGCTCAAGATCTCGGACGGAGATTGTGCTGAATTGGGATCCCACCTGATCTATGAAGGCTCTCATGATCCGAAACCCTGTGGATGCCAAAATGCCTGTGCTAAGACTTGGGCAACATGAAGCGTGCAAAGGCCCCAAACGCGGATGTGCAAGATCTGAATCCGAAAAACTCACACATCTCAATCATACGTATAAAGCCTTCGTGGAGCTACACTTTTGCAAAGCTGACCCAAGGAGATCTACCCATTGAACTTAACCGACACAAGCCATTAGAAGACAAAAGGAGCGCTGAGATCCTTGCTAGCACCACCAAGAAAACCGCGACCGCACCGCATGACAACCCCCTTAAAAGCCCGAGAAAGAACTTTAACCAGCCACAACAAGTACAGTAGCAGCACGCCCCAAGATGTACTGACAAGCCCCAAGCAAGGTCTTGAACGCCCCTAAACAGACCCCTACTACATGGACTCAAACTGCCCAAAACGCTCTGAACGCCCTGAATAGCCTTCGAAGCTAGCAACCTAAGAGCGCAAATCCCCCAAAAAGTCCTTGCAAAACATACAGGCGACTTCAGCAACTAAGCACGAAAGTACGCGCCCTTAAGCACCCTTCACAGTCTTGCAAAATCCGACAAAAACTGAAAGAAAAAGAAGCCTACTCAAAGGGACTGACATGCTTTCAAGAAAGCTCTTCCAAGCCCTTCTCCAAACCCTCAGCCCTCAACCCTCAACCACCCAAACCCTCGACCACCTACAACCCTAAACCCTAAACAGATTGTCGGCCGGAGTTGACTTCGGCTCCGGGCTCTTCGCTTGCGAGGCCGGGGAGTTGCAGTTCAGTTTGTTTTTTCGGGTTGTCGAGGACAAGGGCTCCGGATGTGTTGAGCTTTGTTGGGGCTATAAGGGTCCTAGGCGAAGGGGCGCTGAGATGAGCGGCCCTAAGCCTCCGCTAAGCCTGAAGCTTTTCGGGCACTGGCTCAGTGGCGCCTGCTCTTCCCAGCGGGTCTGGGCTCGGCTGCTGATGGCGCGGGGCTGCCGCGGCTTGCGGAGCACCGAGGGCTTGGAAGCCGGTGGATTTCAAACTCTAAACCTGCAAAACTCTCAGGGATTCCGAACAGAAAAAGGCCACCAAAGCAAAGATGGCCCTAGTATCGTCACCCGGAAACCTGAGCCCCAGACGCGCAAATCAGACCCAGATCAGACCCAATGAGGACCCAAATGAGACCCGAAAGAGACACCCCTGCAGCAGCATGGCCGAACCCGCCTCCTGCTGCTCCCAGCCACCATGAAGATGATTTTGCATTGGGTGGCTGGGCAGCGGAGTGGCGATTTGGGCGATGATGTGTTCAAGATGTTCGAGCTTGGAGTTCACTCCGTTACAAGTGGAATGCTGGAGCTAGAGACGCCTAAGGGGGTGTACGCATGGTTCCGAGGGAGTCCCTTTTTTCCCCCCAAAGATCCTGCACCTTCAAAGGACCAGGAATTCGACTGCTGGAGCCTACAACGTGAAGCGAAGGGTGAGAACAAAAGGCAACCACAGTTGATGGTGGCAATCGGATTGGATTTGTGGCCGTGGGGTTTCAAGCATCGGGTTCTTGAATTTGGGCAAATTTGGGAATCTGGCTCAAGGGTTCAGACCATGGTTGCTAAAACCCCTTGCATCTCGACTTCCTTGGAAGACAGACCGCAGACCTTCATTCTGCTTCAGGTTTAGTTCATGCGGTGGCTTTCCATGTCAGCCCGTCTCGATTTAGGCTGCTTCAGGGGCGGCTGAACCTTCAGCCCTCACGGACACAGGGTGGGATCTGAAACGCGCCACCGAAGCACGAAGCCTCCACTCGTCCGAGAGATCGGGAAGCACGGGCGGCATGCCTCTGGTGTGCAAACGGCCAGGAGTTGAGGGTTCAAGGCCCCACACAATTTCTGCAAATGGTACATGCGCCCGGAAAGACCAACAACCAGTCGTCCTGGAGCCACCCGAAATGATGCACTTGCGAGCCTCTCCAACCCAAAACCGCAAAGTCTTGAGCCCCAAGCCCCAAGCCCTGAACCCTGAGTATGCCGAAATGAGCGGCCTGGGATTTGTGGAGAAGGGCATGCTACGACTTTGCGGGCTGTCAGGGCATACTTGGAAAGCACTTTTCACTGTAGCACGTTCCATATTAGACTCATAAGGTTCTAAATTGGCAAGTCAGGAATCAGCAAAAACCGGAATTCCCAACCGAAAAAGGAACCCTGAACAACAACAGACAGAGAACCATTAACAGCTGAGAAAAGTGTGAAACAAACTCTATACAGCTAAACAACTCTGTCCATCACACTTGTATCACATCTGAAGTGAGGACCTGAAAGCACGATCTGGAACTCATATTCCAGCATCTGCAACTCACATTCCAGTCTACACAAACACCCAGAATGGAACCCTTGGCGGGGGAGCAAGATCGGGGCCCTTTGAGGGTGTGAAGCCCAGAAGCCTCAGAGCTCTCGGAGGTCGCCGAAAGCTTTCAAGAATTTTTGAGATCTCAGTTCGAGGCCTGGGTAGTAGAAGGAGTCCAGGCAGGATGCCAAGTACCCTGGCTCCGAACCCGTAGGCATCCTTCGTGGGAGCAGAGGTGTCTTTTGCCATTTGCCGTTTCTCCTTCGGGGGGGGGGGGGGGGCTTAGGGGGGAAGAAGAGGAGAGTCCCTCTCAACATTTTGGTTATGGGATCCCTGAGCTGTCATCACATGACCAGAGTCGGGGCACATCCAAACCGGAAGCCTCCTCAACCCTGAACCCAAAGCTGCTCGCCCCCCCCCAGATTGCGGAGGCACTCCCCGCGATGCCTGGGATCGACATAGCTCGGGATGTCCAGCGGGTACTCCTTGGAGCTCCGGGCAGATCTCTGGACAAAACAAAGCATGAGTACATGCAGCTGCTAAAAACACCACAACCCACCTGGAATACATGCAACGCTGACGCTTCTCCAGGCTGGAGGTGCCTACACCGCGCACTAGGCGTAGATATTCTCATGATATCCCCCCTAAACTACTTAGAACTTCTACTATACTTCTATGTATATACAGGCATATACATACATTATATATATATGTATACATACATACAAATTACTCCTCTCCACGTGCCCCAAACAGCTCTTCATTTCCATTCGCCATTTCGCTCAAGCGGTGGGCCCCGGGCCAAGCCAGGGGGTCCAGCCCAAGCCTCCGTCTCCATGGTTTAGGGTTCAGGGTTTAGGGTTGGGGTTAAGGGTTTAGGGTTCAGGGGTCAGGGTTTAAGGGTAGTTGGGGTGCTTTGAAGATTTTTGGGGTTAGGGTTCAGAGGGTTCAGATGGGTTTACGGCTGTTGGGTCATGTAATAACTGGGGTTGTAGGTAGCGCAACTACAACTCCAACTGGTCTTCATCCTTCTCGGGTGGTTTATTGTCTTGGAGATCGGTTGAGGTGCGGAGTACTCACTGACTTCTGTATGGGGATGGATTAGGTTTGGGCCGGGACCTCTCTGACATCTTACATGAAGCTCATGCCGCAAAGGCTCATGCTAAGGACTCTGAAGCCATCCAATGTAACGTGGTCCTTCTTGCCTCTAAGCCCTAAGCCCACCGAACATCCAAAAACACCATGAACCGAAGCCTACAAAAGCCACTAGACACACTGGGGGCCCTGCGGTATTGGGTTCCTTGCCGTTTGTGGCTTTGGGCTTTGCAGGCGACACACAAACCTTTCAAGAGCCTTCGGAAGGTCTTGCTGCGAGCTAATGGAGGCATCATACTTAAGGCTTGCACATCTTGCGGAAGGAGGCTCATGAAGCGATAGGAGACACACGAAACAACCACAACAGCTCCAGTGTTCTCCCTGAGCGTGACATGCTAAGCCTACAAACACAAACTCGCTGTTGAGCGACTTGGTCGCCAACCTTCTACCTGACACCCCAGCCGCACTACCCGGGATCGAAATCTCAAGTCCACATGCCCGAGTGCTACCTTGTCCATACATGGCCGCCGCCCATACCATCTGACTCATGTGAACTTTAGGAGCCGGGATGCGTTGCAGTAGTCGAGGTTCGGGTCATAATTGTCATAATACCTGGGCAGACGTCACGCCCTGCTGTGAGAGTGGCCAGGCATGCCTTTGGTGCGTTAAAGTCGGGGCCGGCGGATGGCCCATTTAGGTCGGGCAGGCGTTCTGAGCTCAGGGAAGGAGCTGCATTGTCTCGGGTGCAACAAGAAGTGCACAGCGTTTCGACACGGAAATTCTTAATTGATAAAACGATATACATACATATATATATATATATATATATGTATGTGCGTGTGTGCATGGGCTTGCTCCAGTTTACACCGCATCGCCCCTTGCCAGGCCAGGTGTTGGGAAGAGGGTATGTTTCGGGGTATGTTGCGCGGCCTCGCTTCCCGTAGCGGCTCCAACCATCTACCAACACCTAGACTAGACTGACTAGACCTAAATGTAAACCCTTAGCCAGGCACCAGCCCTCGGTGTAAATAGTTCTGTTCGTTACATGAGTTTAATTCATGTGACAACTTCACATAATTTACTATTCAGCCAGATGCCATGCACCCAAAAGCCTAACTAGCAACCCCAAATTGCCGAAAAAAACCATCAAATCCCTCTCACGCAAACTGTTCCTCAATTCTTTACAACTTTCCTCTTCAACGCAATGCCCGAGATTGAGCCAGGCAGCGGCGGCGGGGGCCCGGCAGTGGGGCCGCGAGGTGGAGCACGGGGAGCCTGGCAAACACGAGTGACGATTCAGCCGTTCTGCTACATTTTGTTCTGTCACTGTCGTCACCGTCGCGAGGTCCATTGATTGCCAGGTTGACCCGCTTGGGCAGTTTTGGGGGGGGGGGGGGGGGGGGGGGGGGGGGGGGGGGGCAAGGCGTGGCATGTAGAGGCAGCTGGTTTATCATTGTTTTGTGGGCTTCGGGACCTTGGCTTCCGAGCCAGCCTGCGGGGAACTCCAGATCCGCCGACTCTGCTAGTGGCTGCTAGTGCTGATCAAGCGCCAATGTGAACAACCGTCTACCCCGGTAGGCTTGTGGCTTTGGCCCACTCCATCTCATAGACTCAACCTCCAGCAGCTTGAAGGCTGCGAGCAGGGCACGTGTTTTTCTTTTTTTTTTGGTGGACTTGTGCAAGATGCTGCGTTTCCCTTGTTCAGGTTGTCGGGCTGCGTCGGCTTGCTTCGGTTTGCGGTTGGCAAGATGTATAAGAAGCTGCGTTTCCCGTCTGGCCAGCACTGGTATCGCCCTTAGCCTATCCAACTTCAGTTTCGAAATTGGCGGAATGGATTTTCACATACCTTCGACATGTCTCTCTCGAGATTTGTTGACATGCTCCTTGGCTTAACCAAACTGTGTGTCGGAATGGGGACTAGATTCGGCAAAACGAGCTGCCCGTCTACCGTCATGTTTTCCCGGACCCTGGGTCTGGGCGGATCCAGAAACTATAGAGCCCACCCCGATTTAGCACTCTGCAATACCGGTACTAAGCTACTATTGGGCAGTCTTGAGGAGCCCTCGAAGGACCTACTTTCCAGATCCTCGCAAGAGTCTGAGTTTTGATAGCTTGAATGACAAGAGGGCCCTGTCCACTGTAACTTCCGCCGGGTCTGCCCATCGGCTTGCAGAGTAGGCAGCGCGTGGCGCCTGCACTGAGCAGCGTGTCTCTATCGACCTGAACCCCCCAAAAAAGCCCCTCCTAATTAGAGTCCTGCACCCCAAGAGCCCCAGAGCCACTCCCAAAAGCCTGCAGAAAAACACCCTGTGATAAACTTGCCAAGGGACTCTGGGCGCGGCCGGCTTCTTGGGATAGGCGTAAGCGTCCATCCTGAGGCTCCTCTGATGGAAAAAAGCAGCCGACGGGTCGAGGGCTCTCAAGGCTTCAGGTCTTAGGCCCTGCTCCCTTCTTGGGGGCTTTCCCGCGGGCTTCTTCTTGTTAGTTTGTATTTTGGTTTTCTTGTTTTGGCAAGGGGGGTGCGGGTTTTCAACAAAGTCCGAGAGCTCTCTGAGCCAGGCAGCCCTTAAGCCCTGCAGCCCAAAGCGCTGAGGACTTTGGGTGTTCGCTTTAACTTGCCAGGTAGATTTGGGGATCCAGCTTCAAAGAACTCGGAGGTTCCATCTCTCCCCCGCCTTCCTCTTTGGGGGGGGGGGGAGGAATCTTCGACCCCATCTACGCTCTCACTCTCCGTCCCTCGGATCACACTGGACTCCTTAGGGTCTATGGTTTAGGGTTTGGGGCTTAGGGTTCAACCCCTCATCTGCTGGCCTTGGACTCAAGATCGAATTGCAGCAATCAGCCACGCTTTCCAGCGAATGCGTCTTGCTCGGCAGCAGCCTCGAGACCCAACGTGGTTGTCTTGTTTGAGGGTCACCGAGAGCTGAGAACCGTATGCCGAGGGGTTGAAGGGTGTGTGGTAGATGGGCTGATGGTTAGAGGGGTTCAGGGTTTAGTGCTTCCGCGAGGTTGAACTCTGTTTCGATAAATACATACAGTACCAACTGCCTCAACCCTAACGCAAGTACGAGGGAGCATACTACGGGCCCAATAGGACCCTAAAGCCTCAAGTGAAGCATGAAGTGACCCTCAAGGCTGACAGCACACCAAAAGGCGTCATGCTGCAGCACGCGGATTTCTCCCAAAACCACGAACTTTAGGAACCTTCCCAGCTCGTGTGACCCCGAATCCCAAAGCTCGCTGAGAGCCCTGGCAGCACCGATTGCCTGACCCCATGCGGGTTTGAGCCAGCACGGCGGTTTTGAGGCCGAAGTCCACGATTGGGGTTTAGGGTTTAGGGTTTAGGGTTTTTTGAGCGAGAATCGGGTGCAGATGCCTGGGCGTGCAGACTTTTGTGGAGGTTTTGGCAGCTGCTGGTTTTCAGAAGAAAGCGACTCCATCTGCTCAAACCCCGGCACCCCCTAAGGCCCGACCAACGAAGCCCTCAGCAAGATTGAAACTAAACTGGAAAGCAGTGAAGGCTACACGGCTGATGTATGATGCCAATTCTTCACTTAACAAAAAACCTAGAGAGCATAGCATATATGAATAAAAAACCACGGCAAGTTCATATGTTTATAAGCAAATAAACAATAGAAATACAAATATAAATATAAATATAAACATAAGGTCGCCCCCCCCCCAATGGACCAACCTCCAACCCTAATGGACCCACATCGGCATGTATAAGGTTCTCCAGACACTGCAGCCTGCCATGCTTTCCCTGTCTACTTCTTTATGCTTTTTGTGCTTCCTGTGCTTTTTTTGTGTTGTTTTTCGTGCATTTTTGTGTGTTTTTTTTATTCTTTTGTGTTTTTTCTGCTTTTTGTTGCACTTTTTGCACTTTTTTTGCACTTTTTGCACTTTTTTGCACTTTTGCCACTTTCTTGCACTTTTGTCTAATTTCACAACATTTTTGCAAATATTTGTCCTTTTGAATGTGCTTTTCCAATCCAAAAGTCCAAAAATCCAAAAATCCAAAAACCCAAAAATCCAAAAATCCAAAAATCCAAAAATCCAAAAATCCAAAAATCCAAAAATCCAAAAATCCAAAAATCCAAAGTTCTCCGGACAATCTCCCAGGAAACTTTGGATTTTTGGATTTTTGGATTTTTGGATTTTTGGATTTTTGGATTTTTGGATTTTTGGATTTTGAAGACATTTCACATTCGAGGTTCTCCTTTTTTTGACTTATGAGAGGGCGGCCATTCAAATGCACCCTTATCAGAGTTTCAATTGCATCTTAAGTACTCGAAACATAAGCACTAAATTCACAGGATATCATTAAATGGCATATCCTAGATGGTTTTGATTCTACAGTTTCTGAATTTGAGAACCATGTCAATTCTTACTTTTCAAATCACTGAGGTAAACACGTACGTGTGTTATGCACAGGGCTTTGCTAAGCAGGCTTTAGCAGAGAAAGCCCATATTTGCCAATATCTACTTTTGTGCATATAAAAGAAGCTGAATTATCATTTTTTCCAAGAACAACCATTCTGGGATCCTAGTACCTGCTGTTTAAGAAAGGTTATATGTCATGAACACCCTGACTTTGCGATAACGAGTGTTTTAGTTTTCTGATCCTTTAATTCAGGCTCTTAATATTGAGTTGCCCACCTGTGATTATTGCAGTAAACCCTGCTCGAATCTGATTAACGTCTTAACTAAGTACTCGATTGAAGACTGTATCGATTAAATCCTAAGTAGCCTGCTCACAAAGCCAATGAGATTTCGAAATATCCTACTCAAACAGCCAACAAGAGGCTGAACAGAAGCGTTCAAGACAGTAATAGGGCTTAGGCCCAATATACGGCTAGTGCACTGTCCACTCGAGGGTCAGGGACTTCCTGTATGGAAGTGAAGTGTGCATTCATTTCCAGGGCGCGCATTTCATGCTATGAGGTTCGGTTGAACTCTTATTTAATCTTGCATATGGAGCCCCTGTAAGTATCTCGTGTATATAAGAGGGCGGCCCTTCAAAGGTACCCTTATCAGAGTTTCAATGGCGTCCTACTCGAAACGTGAACATTAAATTCACAGGATATTAAATGGCATATTCTAGAAGGTTTTGATTATACTGTTTCCGTATATGAGAACCACGTAAAGTCTTAGTTTTTCAAATCGCTGAGAAAAACACGTACATGTGTTATGCACAGGCCTTTGCTAAGGAGGCTTTAACAAAGAAAGCCTATATTTGCCAATATCTAATTTTGTGCATCTGAAAGAAGCTGAATTATCATTTCTTCAATAAGAACCATTCTGGGATCCTAGTACCTACTGTTTAGAAAAGGTTATCTCTTATGAAAGCCCTTACTTTGTGATACGAGTGCTTTAGTTTTTTGCCCTACTACATTCTTGAACGCTTCTAATCGCTTTTTGAGCAGGATATTTCAACATCTTATTGGCTCTTTGAGCAGGCTACTTGGGACTTTCATTCACGTTTTGAGTCGTTTGGATGTTTTTGAAATTCTGACAAGGGTACATGTGAATGGCCGCCCTCTTATAAGTCAAAAAAAGGAGAACCTCGAATGTGAAAAGTCTTCAATATCCAAAAATCCAAAAATCCAAAAATCCAAAGTTTCCTGGGAGATTGTCCGGAGAACTTTGGATTTTTGGATTTTTGGGTTTTTGGGTTTTTGGATTTTTGGATTTTTGGACTTTTGGATTGGAAAAGCACATTCAAAAGGACAAATATTTGCAAAAATGTTGTGAAATTAGACAAAAGTGCAAAAAAGTGCAAAAAGTGCAAAAAAGTGCAAAAAGTGCAAAAATGTGCCAAAAGTGCAAAAAAAGTGCAAAAAGTGCAAAAAAGTGCAAAAAGTGCAAAAAAGTACAAAAAGTACAAAAAAAGCACGAAAAAGCACAAAAAGCATAAACAAGCATAACAAAGCACAAAATCCAATAATCCAAAAATCCAAAAATCCAAAGTTTCCTGGGAGATTGTCCGGGGAACTTTGGATTTTTGGATTCTTGGACTTCTTTTCCATTTCGCGGTTGGTCCATTGGGGGGGGGGTGAGCAACAGAAATGGAAATTGAAATTGACATTGAAATTAAAATAGAAATAGAATAACATAAAAATAAAAATGAAAAAATCTAAATATAAATATCAATCTAAAAATACAAAAATCGATAAATCTAGATATATATATATATATAAGATAAATAAGCATGCTTGTAGGCTTCAACAATCTAGGCGTGTCCACTGAACCTTGAACTGGGTGCTCTTCTTTTTGTGCCCTTAGCTCTGCACACGCTGCAGCCTCAAGCGGCGGAGCAGCGGGGCCACCTTTTTGCAGGCTTTGCGGAACTTGAGTTTTGGGGGTTCTGGGGTTTCAGGGCTTGGAGATGACTTGGAGGGCTTTAACCTTCTTTCCTCAAGCAGCCCTTGCACTATGAGCTCTCAATATGTTCGAGGTAAAGTAAGGAAACTGATGGGTCTGTCCCGTGCGCATGATAGCCTCGTGAAGTCCAAGGGCTTAAGGTTTCGGGTTTCGGGTGCCGTGACCAGCAACCCCGTTCGAATAAAACCAAAAACGATGTTCCTTTCTGATCGCCCGGGTGACAGTGCACGTTTGCATCTTCATTTCTCCAAGATGTCACAGTGCTACACGTCCTTCAGCCTAAACATCTCTCACCGCGGTGAAGTCATCCCAAACCCCGAGTCCGCAACCTTCATTCACCATTAAAATCCCAGACCCTCAGCCATCCCAACCTTAGCGTTCTTGGAAACCCTGCCTTAAACCCTAAATGCCTTAAACCCTAAACCCTAAACCCTAATCCCTAAACAACCCTAAACCCAAAGACAACACAAGCGCCTTTGGGCCCCGGTCTTGGAAATCGCGGAAGGCTGCGAGCGGTGCCCTCCCGGCTCCCGGCTCCAGGAATGCTTCCTTGGGGATAGGAAGATGGATTTATTCGGGTTGAGGGTTTAGGGTTTATTAGGGTCTTCACAGAGTTTGGGTGCAAAGCTGTTCGGTGTTATCATATGTTGCAGTGAGACCAGACATGTGTCTTGCAGCAAGCCCTGGTGCGGCCCAACAGGAAATTTCAGCGCCCGACGTTCGAATTGTCGAGTGTTAATGTCGTAATATTGGTGTAGCGGGTGCTAGTTGCAGAAGCTAGGACGTGGTTCAGCCAAACAAATTTCGACAGACTTGGATGTTCAGCTGTTCAAGGGCGATCTGACTGTGAGATGCACATGTATGTTGCAGATGGAGATGGACGGCAGGAAGACTTGGTAGCGATGGTTCGCAAAAGTGTCAGGCTAAGAGAATGCCAGGTATCAAAATGATGCTGGGCTACGCGGTTACACATGTGTGCCATGGCAGCAAGCCCAGCTCAGGCGAGCAAACTTTTTTAGGTCTTTGATGTCAAGCTTTCATGTGGAATGCAGGTGTGGCAATATGCATGTGTCTTGCAGCATGAGTAGCAGTATTTGTTTTGAATTCTGCGATTGTGTATGTAGGTTGCAGTGCAAATGCAGATGTGTGTTGCAGCAGCCAGGAATCGCATTCTTCAGACTAGTCTTTTTTGCGTAATTTGAAAGCCTTGCTTCAACGACACACGTTTTTCTCGCCGAAAGCCAGGAAAATTTGTTTCAACCAAGCAAACGGGTTCGCTTCGTTTTTTGTCCGGCGTTGTCTCACGCACTTGTGTGTTGCAGAAGCAATCGACATTGATTCAGGCCGTTGGAAGAGGCAGAGATAGGCTGTTGGTTGGTGTAGAGGCCAGGAAACCATTCTTCAGCCTCACAAGTCTTTTGCGTAATTTGACTGTTTGGTCCTTCGCTTGTTGCAGTGCTGCTGCTGCTGCTGCTGTTGCTGCTGCTGCTGCTGCTGCTGCTCCTGCTGCTGCTGCTGCTGCTGCTGCTGCTGCTGCTGCTGCTGCTGCTGCTGCTGCTGCTGCTGCGGCTGCGGCAGCGGCGGCGGCAAGCACACACATGTCTGTTGGAGAGGTCTATAGGCTTGTTTCTCAGCGTGCTCCGTTTTGCCTTCTGCTTCTTGTTGTGGAGGTTCATGCCTGCATCTATCAGACTCAAACTGCCTTGGTCTTGGTGACTGCCTGATGCTGTGGGATTCTATCGAGCCCCGCCCACTGAACTGAACGGTGCAACGAACGGCATTCTCCTTTCAAACCGCAGGCTTTTGCTACTTCAGGGGGCTGGGGGGATGTTCCCCGATGTGCAAAAGTTGTAGCCAGGAGCCCTTGCAAGAATCCCCAAGCAACACCTCAGTCTGGGTTTCTGAGCACTTGTCTTTGATGCAGAATGTTGGGCCCACATATTCCTGCCCGCGCCCTCGAACCCACGAGGCCTCAACAAGCCCTTCGCCATACCTTCAACATGAGAGTGCGTGCGCAACAATGAAAGACGCAGAAGTCAGCCCAAAACTGCAACACCCGTATTTCGCACGATCCTCAACCTACCAAAGCCTCCAATCCTTTTTCAGGAACTGCTCTCAGGCATGCGGAACAAGGCACTCGAAAACGCCGCCCCAACGCAGACACCTCCCGTGGCTGGGCCTGCCAGTCCCAGCTTCGAAAGGTTGTGTGTGTGTGTGTGCATCAGCTGAAGTACCGCAAGTCCCACACCCCAAACCTCCACTGAAATCTAAACTCCGGCTGAAGCTCTCTTGAGCATGGGATGGTTGTTGCATGTCGAACTACTGATTGTCAGGCGGTTTCAGATCGTAACATCATGGGGTTATCACGCGCAGCTCGAAAAGCCAAATCTTGCAACAGAGTGTGGCGAGTTTATGGTGGCGTGTTCTTGTGCCTCAGCATCCCCATGTTGGTGTTCCCCCCGCTATCAGACATGGAGCGGCTAAAATCTCGGAAGCCCGAAATTATCTTCCAGAGGTCCCGAAATCCCGAACAGAGAGCGACTGCTATTTTCGCTCTCTCTCTTTTCTTGTGGTGGTGTCTTGCAGTTTATTGTGCTCGTGCCTGCGGAGAGTTCTTACGCCGGCGTAACCAAAAAACAACCCAAATGGACTGCTTTTTGATGATTTTGGCCAGGGCGTTTGGCCATAAACCCCTTATTGAGTTGTTACCAGGTGGGGTTCGACCAAGCGTTTGCAACAAAAACCAACTCCGAAAACCTCTCGTGCAAAATACAATGACTACTGCAGGAGCAGGCTTTGACTGCCATGAAGTGTTCGCAAAGCTGCCAGGAAGCCCGCGAATAATATATGGCTTGGCTTAGGAGAATTCGCGGCGTTGGGCGCAGATCGATGTTGAAGCTTGAATAGAAGTCTGAAGCTCCAAACCCGAATGTCAGGAACCCTATAGGGTCGCGCGACCCTAACAGTGCAGGTTTGCTGTGATTGTCAACGCCTTTGCCGTTTCAAAGTCTTGCGCAGTGAACATGTACCATGGCTGTCCAAAATTTGCACCTGCAACTGCCTACAAGCATACACAGGGGCCTTCGCAACCTACACCCTGCAGGCAACATGCTACGCGACCAACTTCCCATGTTCACGTCTGGCTCCCACCCTCCACCCTCCTTTAGTGTCGTTGCGGGTCATTAGTTTTAGGGGCTTTATGTAGGATTTTGGGGTGTCCCCACTCCCCCTCCCCCACCCACCCCCTCCCCCACCCCCTCTGCCCCCCTCCCCTCCCTCCCCCCCTCCCCAATCGGAGCATCCGAGACCTGAGTTTCCCGACCCTATCTGTTACCCCAATGCCCGACCACACAAAGCATGTATATTGCTGTTGCCGGATGTCATGAGCGCTAATTGGCCTACTGGCATCCTGACCATAGGTCCTCTACTCAAGCTGCGTAAACCGTCTATGGCTTACGAGTGAGCTTGCACGCAGGCCAGTCCCACGTCTTCCTTTTCCAAGAAGGGGGCAGGAATCATGTCAGGCCTACGTGGCAGTTGATCCTGCTGTGGGGCTTCGGGTACAGCCGATCCTTGCAAGGCTCTTATTGAGCGCTCGCAACGCCCCAGCCGGCATGTCGAATTCTTGGCAGGGTGAGGGCTTGGGAGTCTGAGTTACGTCACCTCCAAGCCCCAGGCTCTGAACCTATGCAGAGCGTTGTAATACGAAACGTACTAGACTCATCTGACATGATCTGCTGTCTGAAGGCCCATGGGACCGTGGCACAAAGTCTCCACGTCGGCATCATGCTGATGCCAGCAAGGCTCAAACACTAAAACCTGCAGTGCCTGCATCTCCAGTCCCACCAATGGATTCCAGCACACCACTTCGGGCAGTGTGCCCGTCGGTGGCGCCGAGAATGTCGTGAGTAGTACGAGTACGAGTACCCGTACGGAGGCGTCGGAGTCGTTGTTTCAGTTGTGTTGCAGCCTTGGATCCTGCCGGTGGCAGTGAAGTTAAAAGGGCCACCACCATCAGCCTCAAAGCCAGTCACGAGAACGGCTGTCGCGGAGATGCCCACAGCCGAGTCTGCCCTGGCGTTGTTGAAGACCAATGTTTGCGTTGGCCCCCAAAGATTCTCAAGGCTTCTCTCGAAGAAGCTCACGATTCGTCGTAAGCCGGAGCTGTCCTTGGAGATCAATGGAAGACCTACTCTGGGACGAGAATATCATATAACAAATAATGAATCAATAAATCAATAAACCAATAAATAAATACATACATAAGTAAATTGATAGATAAATATACATGAATAAATAACAAAAAAAAATATATATATATATATATGTATAAGCTGCACCCCCGGCAGACAAGACCAGGAGAAGTTTCCGTGAGATAAGATTGCATTCCGGGAAAGTCATCCCTTGGCTGTGATTTTGGTCTTTGGACTACACACGTCTTTTTTGAAGAATCCAAGCAACTCGTGCCCCAGCTATGGGTATCACTAGAAATCACATCCCCTCACAATCCCCATAACCCCTATAACTATGACCCCTGTGAGTTCTGGGGTCTGGTTTCCTTTGATCCCTACTCTAATGGTACTCACACCAAGCCCCAGGATGCCCCGTAGCGAAATTCGTTTCGGGGTTCCGTGTTTATGAAAAAACCGTGTTCCCCAGTGTTTTCTGAGCGTTTCTTTTCGAGCTCTTCAGCTTGCAGATCGCAAATCCTGCAGTCCTGCGTTCCTGTGATCTGTAGCCTGAGCCCCCCATCCCCCCCTTCCCCGAGTGCCACGTTCCTGCGGCTCTTTTGCAGAATGGGCCCCTGCGTGTCTTGACCCCCAAAAAGCCTGCTTAAGACTGGAGAGAGATTCAACAGCTACTACTGCCTTGCCAGTGCTGGAGATATCTGCATCCCGGATCTCGTTGGCGCTTGCGTTCGGATCGCCGACCACTTGGCTGTAGACCTGTCTCAAGATGAACTTCTGTGCGCTCTTGGTGGGATTGTGACCGTCAGTATTTCGATGTTCACGAGACGTCACGAGCCTCTTATTGCTACGTGACGGCTGCTGTCATGATTACCACGACCAAGACCAAGAAAACGACTCTCCGGTGGTAATTCTGCTGCAGTGCCGAGGTTGTCTCTCACAGGCCTGGGCTTTGGGGTAGGATTCGAATCTGGGTAGATGCCTGCACAGCATCGTCCAGAGCCTCTTTTGTTTTCGTAGCTGTAACAAAGGTTGTAGTTCAGCCTGCACACCCTAAACTTCAACCCAGGGCTTTCGAATGGCCCTGCCTCGGACTCGAGACGAAGGACAAAGACAGGTCAATTCATGCATGATGCATAGACTGGAGAGCCAGGGGTTGGCACTTTTCATCTGTAGCTGCTCTTCCCCCCTGGCAGCACTGTCGTGCATATGTTCACAGCATATGTTCACAGCAGACGGGAGCATCTCCAGTAGTCGCACAAAGTGTTCTTCGATCTGGGTCTTCCCTTTCTGGGAGAAACAAGCTTTCGGACTTTAAACCTGAAAAACTCGTAAACCCGCCGCGACTTCTTTGTGCTTCAGCCGACCTCCTGCCATGAGCCGGCGTTGTACTCGTGAACATATGCCCTCGTGGTGAGTGTTCCATCAGTCTGAAGCAGGACCTCCGAAGCATGTTTCGGAGATTAGCCTCTCCACTCAATGC